GTGTTCACTCCCCCATCAATAGAGCCGACCTGTGACAGCTTCTTTGTCACATGTCGGCTCTAACTATGAGGATGAGTGGAAATCACTCACCTCATAGTTCTCCTTTAACAGTCCTGGACCTTATTTGTGAATTGCTCAGCTGTAGATGCCGAAACCTTTGCTGAATTCATGCTGACACTGTCCTTACTTCTGGAGGGGGGCTATTTTTGTTCCCCATGGTCCCACTCCCTGTGTGTGTTGTAAAGTAGCCACCGCTCCAAGCTCGCTCCTATGATGAACTTTGATCACATGTTTAATTTGGTTTACTAGAGATTGTAGTCCTCATGGGAGCGAGTGTATTAGAGTGGGATTGTTAATAGTTCGGGTGCTTGAATACATTTTTTAGGATTTAACTCCTGAGTTTAGTGTCACTTTTTAAGTAACATTTACAGGTCTCTTCCAACCCTTAGCCTGTGACTGGATAGTAAAATGAGAAGCAGTAGACAGATGAACTTAACTCAGTTACTCTTTTTCCATCAGCATGTCCTTGCTAGAACATGCTTAACTGCAGTGCACTGCAGCACATCTAATGGCTTCACTAGCTGTGCGTGTGAATGTGCTGCAGCAAAGGGCAACCCATTCATTTCAATGCCCTACCCGTGACAACACCCCTGCCCTACCCGTGACAACACCCCTGCCCTACCCGTGACAACATTCCTGCCCTACCCGTGACAACACCCCTGCCCTACCCGTGACAACACCCCTGCCCTACCCGTGACAACACCCCTGCCCTACCCATGACAAATGCAGCAAGGAAGTTCCTGCAGCACTTTGAGCTGCAAGCTTTGCACATTTTGACTGCATTTCTTGCTTGCCATGTTTGGGGTACCATTAACAAATAATGGCACGCTTGAATGTGTGCAATATTACACAACTTTTGCACATGTCCATGAGTGCAACTATTGCGAATGGGGGCTGAATGCTAGAATCATGTGTTAAGCCTTTTGTGTGGTTACTAGTTAAAAATGAAACTTATGTCACTGTTTCTGTCGGATTCCACAACCTTACACAAGGTCATGTCTTGGCCTTTGATAAAAACAGAACATCAACATTTGTCATATTTTTCAAAAGGAAGTAAAAAAAACAATTGAAAACCTATTGTGAACATTCATGTGGACAAACATGCCAATTAAAGGCTTGCATTGTGCTGTAGTATTCCTGTATTTAAAAAGAAGGATTAAACATGGATTGAGGTAAAAGCAATTCACTGACTTATTCTAAATGTGTATAGCTTTTAGTGTTCTTATGGTGCACTACTTAACTACCAGGGGTTACCTTTATTACCATCATTGCATTAAAGTAATTGTCATTAGCCTCTAGTCTAGGGGGTGCCATGTGTTGTGTTAACTACTAGTACTGATGCTATCTATCCAGAGCTTCACATGGTGATATACAAACTATAAAAGGAATGACATTTTTGCTTTCTACTGTCAGACTTCTTTCCAAGTTCCTGGGTATTATGTTTTCTGTACATACCTATTCACCTTCTTTTCACATAGCTTGAAGAAATGACAGTAGTGCGGCTGCCTACAATGTATGCCGATGGTACAATTTTACATATTTAAGATGCACGCATTCCTATAAAAAAAAACATGCAGAATACTTCATTTCAGTTACTGCTGGTTCTTTTTAAGCATAGTAACTGTTTTCAATCAAATGGATTGCCATATTATCCATAACAAGCTGGCACTTTTCTAAAGTCAGATAGTACATCAAGTGGCGTAGGATGCAAAAGTACTAAAGACATCAGTAAGGTTGATATTACTATTTGGGTTTCTGTGGATGTGATAACTGTCACTGTAAAAAAAAAAGTGAGGGGAAGACTCCCTGGCAGGGACACAGAACAATATAAATTTGAATGTTTGCTGATAAAATGTTTTTTTTATCGTTGTCTGCCACTGTTTGAGAAATGTTTGTAATTTCCACTTCCAGTTACATTGGAAATTAAATTCCTCCCACCCCAGTGAGGACACATACAGCAATAAAAACTTGATTCTAAAGCGCATCAAACAGATTGTCAGACAGTCACAGTAGTGCAACAGTTACGTGGTCCCTCATGTTATAGCTTTTGCAAATGTAAAGTTGATGGTACATAGATTGTACGGTCGGACTGTAACTTGTATAGTGAGCCTAACCCTCCTCCGCTCTACCAAAATAACAATTTGGCAGGTGTTCCACTTCAGTCTGAGAGCTAAATATATTTTTTATAATCCCTTGCAACTAAGACTGAGACATTAACAAAAAATGCTGGATTATTAAAAATCCTTTCTACATTACATTACTTTTCCAAGTCTCTCTCAATGAATAATTCAAATGATTGTATACTAGTAAAGCACGATAATCGGTAGCACTGATTTAGTGATTTTACTAACTTGTCAATCAGGATGGAACAGTTTATTTGAAACGCTTTATTATATTCTTCTAATAATGGTTTCTTACTGCTTTATAAAGAGTACAGTTAATCCTGACTGCCCTCTGATCAGGATCTACTTGCTTGGTTTTCCAAAGGTTAATATAATTGTGGAAATTGAGTAATGGGTATCTGTTCACAATTGCACGGACATTTTTATTATATATATACCGGACTTCAAAGAATAATGTTGTGATGAATTACTCAGCCAGTAGGTTAAGGCAACTGTAATGAGTTTATTCAACCTTACTGGTTCTAGGTTTTTGGGGCTCTGTTTGTCATTTACAAAGGAGAATGTAATTTTTGTAATTTGGTGCGGTGACCCATATCATGTGAGTTTGGGCGGTCATAAATTGTGTCCAGCGGTCACAAAACATCAGCTGAACAGCTTTGTATGATTCATGTGATTTGGTGTCTGTATGAGCGTTAAAAAGGGAAGTTGCTGTTCACAAATTATAATATATTTATCACTTTGGTTATGAAAAAAAACAAACAAAATAAGCTGCAAGGATGAAATCCTAAGATTTGAGCAGAGAGATGTAATTTCATTTTGGATCCAACATTCCAATTTATGAATGGGTCAAAGATGTTAGTGCAGATTTTAAAGGGGAAGTATAGAAATAGATTTCTTATAGCTTAAGGCCTCATTCACACGAGTAACGGCCGGCACGTATAGCTCCGTGCTGTGTGCACGACCGTATCGGGTATCTCCCCGGGAAGGACAGGTGCTGCGTGTGATTAGTACGCAGCCCCTGCTCTTCTATATGGGACTAGGCGGCCATACGCAGCCCTACGCAGCCCTACGCTCACTTGCCCTGCACGTTCCTGCGGATGTCCATACTCGTACGCAGACAGGATGGATCCTGTCTGCGTCCGACCCGGGACACCCGTACGGACCTGCACGTGGGCCAAGCGTAGGGTGGCGTTCAGCCGCGTAGTCCCATAGAGAAGGACAGGGGCTGCCTACTAATCACACGCTGCACCTGTCCTTCCCGGGACCTGCCCGATATGGCCGTGCACGCAGCACGGAGCTATACGTTCCGGCTGTTTCTCGTGTGAATGAGGCTTAACAAGCTTTACCATCAGGAGTAAAGAACCTCAGTGCAGATCTGTTACAAGTAAATAAGCACAAACGATGTTATTTTGGTACAGTATGTATAATTTTTATCTTTTGGCCTATTTTCTCTGCAGCTGGAAATCACTTAAGCTAGGTATAGACTGGTAATTAAAATATATTGACTGTTATCTCATTAGAAACCATTTGATTTTAGTGTGCTACAGATAAGGACCTCCAACAAGTAGTTATATTTATCAATAGCACAGAGATCATCAGTGTAGCCCTAGCCTAGAGTACGGATGTGTTCAGCTTCCCACCTTCTGGATCATTGGAACAAGTATAATACTCTCTTTAAAACTCAAGTTTAGGGTTTTCAGCATGTAATAGCCAATTCATGTTTTATCACTTTGCTTTGCCATTCCATAACTCAACTCATTATTCGCATCCACCCCAAATTTTACTGTCTGCCAAAGGTGAATTATACACACATGGTATTCATAGGGGCAATTTATAAATGTTTTCATACATGATTCACCCAGGATTCTCACATTTCCCCAATTCAATCCAGTTAGAAAATTATGTGAATCATGCATACAAACATTTATAAATAGACCCCCTAAATATGCATTATGGGGGTTGTATGAGAGTATTCTAATCTGATTGCCACTATAGATCATGTCTGGTGCAGCTCAAAGAGACTTCGTTTTAAGCTCTGTCCACATTTGGTAAGAGTCAGAATATTATTTCTGCAGATATATGTACAAGTACATGGAAAACATCTGCGATTGATTTTTTTTTTATATGCTATGAAATCATGTCGGAGCTCCCCTTTGAAGTGAGCTTATCACATATATTAGGTATATAAAACAATATTGCTAAGCAGCAGACATCATAACCTGTTTACCAATACCTTTTCTATCTTGTGAATGGTTGTATACTGCATCTAGGAAACTCCTCCCAAATCCAAGGTGCAATGTCTACATGGGGCCACTTCTACTGCATTGGGGTTCTAAACTCCTACCCTGTCACAGCCAAACTCCACCCCTTAATTTAAACTTCCAATATTAGAATGACTATTATTTGCTGAAGGACTTGTGGTGTTACATAGCAGGATGGGGCTGAGGTGAGGCAGGCCTTAGCTGCAAATCACAGTAGAAGCCAAGTCCTGTGTGGACCGTGCATTATGGATTAAAGAAGGCTGTCCAGTACTTGTATGTATCCTTTTTTGCTCGTTGTTTAGCTTTAAGTTGCATGTGTTGCATCAAGATACATTTTTAAGCTTGTCACAGTTGAGATTTTCCATAACATCATTCTGCTGTGCAAATATACAGTAGGTTGTAGACCAACATGACATTACTTTTTTTTCACATGCTACGGTACACAAATAAACTAAATTATTACCTGACACTGAGCATCAATCTGCCACAGAAATATTTGAAAGGCTACTGAGGTCTAACAAAGGATTATGACTACATGTTGTATTTTTTTAATTAGCAGAGATGACAATAATAAAGAAAACTACCCTCGCAGAGCCACAGAACTGGAGGAAAATGCTGCCCCTTCCCGAGATCTCCAGCATCACATGGACAAGAAGATGTTTGATGTCTCATCCAGACATGGAATTGGTATCTTGCAATCAAAGCAACCCAAATCAAGTGTCCGAACAGATATTGGGAAGATCCATGAAGGAAGTCAGGTAAAAAGATGTTTTATACAACTATAGTCCATGACAGCATGTATTAGAGAGGGATTTGCCCCCTTGTATACGATCAGGGCCAGCAAGAGTTTCAGTTAGAGGTGCGCCAAAATGGACCGAAACCAAACATTTTTTTAAAGATCTTAAATACATTTTTTTTATATATTTAATTTTTAGTACTTTTTTTTTATTAAATATTTTTTTTTTTAACCTTACTGCTCTGGGAAAATATCAGAGGTCTAAACAGACCCCTGATATTTCCCTTTTAAAATATATATATATATAATTTATTTTATACTATACTGCGTGTTTCTGTTGATTCATAACTTGTGGATATGGTAGGTTTACCATGTCCACAATAATGAATGTGCAGGAAGTGATGTAGATCACTTCCTGTTCATTTTATAATTGGGGACACAGTAAACATACTATGTCCTCAAGTATTTACAAGCATCAGATGATCGCTGACTGCTTGTAGCCACTCCTTATCCTGATTCACTGTCACAGGAGGCAGTGCAGGAGGAAAGCTCGGTCTCCTTTGACAGCTGACTCCTCCCCTGCATCGCTGGCTTGGCCACCTGTGACAGCTCACAGCTGTCTCCGCCCCCACACTGCTCTCCACCCTGATATGTCACATGAGGCTGAGCAGGGCAGTGCAGGAGGAGAGCATTTTCTGATCTGTCCTTTTTCTCTTATTTGTATTTATTGGTATGTTTCTTTTAAAAAGGCTCGTTTTGGTTTTGGCCTTGCTTGTGCAGATGCTAGCTGAGTGGTCCACACTCCTAAGTAGTTACTTGAATGCTGTGAATGTAAACCAAAATCTTACTAGATGTGTTGATCAGATGGTGGACTTGCTGTATGTGAAGCAAGTCTGGGTTCTAGCCCTCTGATTTTGTGGGTAAGTCTGTTGTCCAGATGCATTGGTCACTTTGGTTGAAGTGCTGGTCAGCCGATGCAGCATTTAAAGAAGAAATCCGGGAACTCAAAAAACTTTCCCTTGCAGAGGGGCCTCGCCCATACTGCAAGGGTTAAGTGCTCATTTTTCTTTAGGATTAGAATAAAGCAGATATACTCCCCTGATCCTCGATCCTGCCGAGCTGCTAACCGGACCCTGCAGCCTGTTCTTCCCTGAGCTCTAGCAATCTAAGGACAGCTGACATCATCACGTCTAATGCAGGTCCTTTGTGTATCTCAGATTGAAATCTTTGGGGAACAGACTTGGAGAACATTTTGATGGATCTGTAAGCTCTGGATAAGCATGGGAGGACATGGTATGCTGGTCAGCTTAGCTCACTCCCCTATGAAAAAATTGACTTAGCACATGATACCCTAATTTAGCTAGTGTGGAAACTGGGGTTTGCATCTCCACTTCTTGGTTGTAGTGAGCATTTCCTCTTCTCCTTTTCCCATTTTTCCAGTTGCCAAATGTCTGATTTGGCCACCTTTGTTCTAGGTCCTGTGGTGGATTTTACCTGTCACATTTTGTGTCAGTGGGTTGTTTTTTTTTTTTGTCTTTGCCTGGAGTTTTAAACCTGGTCTTTTCAGACCTTCTGTTACTTACTTTGTACTGTTGTGGGCATTCCTTGCTATGACTTACTTTGTACTGTTGCGGGCTTTCCTTGCTATTTCCTATCTACAAGAGTGCCTCATAGTTGCAATGTTCTCCTTCTGGGAAAGTGGTGTTCTTGTCTTTCTACGGTCTAGCTCCTACCATCCTTGGGGGATTTTTCACTTCTTGGATGTAGAGGGCACTGTGATCACCATAGATAGATTGAGAAAGTAAGGTTCATTTTTCATTTGGGTGGATTCACCTCTATATCTTTATATGTGCTAGTTGTAGGAGTGGTTTCTCCTTCCTGCTTGGGTTCACTAAGCCTGGACAGTGGGTGTGTCTGGGGCTTGGCTATCAGACCACTAGTCTTGGGTTGGGCAACTATAATTGGGCTTTGCTTGGACTTCTACCGTGTTCTCTAGGTGGATATGCCTGTTTGCCAGCTCATATTCAAGTCACATGCTTTCAGGTGGCTTGGGCCCTCCTATTTTTGTTGTTTTTGTTGAGCCCTGTTTCGGTTGCTTGTGAACTGCTCATGAGTAGGCAATGCTGTGTCACTTAGTGGATAATAAAGAAAATTTAATTTTTGCAGTTGCCATAAAATGCCTTTTTTTGGAGTTCATTGAGTGACGCAGAGCCTTTTATTGCTCTGTATTACCATGTTGGTTTTCCAAAGTGCTTGTTACAAATGAGCAGGTTATATCCCCTAGGGCCTGTGCTCAGTTGTTTTCTCCTGCAGGTGACTCAGGGTTCATAAAACACTGCGTCACTCTATGGATTTTACGGTGAACAAAATCCCATTCTTGTCATCACTCTATCACTATTTAGATGCCCGCACTGGTGCAAAAAAAACAAAACACAGAAAAAATATGTCCACTGTAAACAAGCTCAGAGAACTGCCTCCGATGTTACTCCTCTGGAATGCTATGCATAACACAAGGTGTACTTTTGCACCGAATAACTGCATATTCTGTTTTATACCTGTTATCTTAAGATTTCGATCTGTATTGGTGTATTTTCTATGAATTTCTGTGTGTGTTTACTTGTAAATATGTGTTATTGTGTTTGGTTTGTTTTTTTTGAACAAGTAAGTCCAATCCACATTCTTGTATTTCTACCGTGATGCATTTTATGTAACAAAAAGCAATATTGCTTGAAAATCATATAAAGGCCTTTCTTCAGCTATTAGTTACTAATTACTGGTAGCTATTAGTTGCATGTTGGCACTGGATACAAGAGATACTCCAGTCACCTTGTTGGTAGGAAACATCTGGCATTTACTAATTGACAAACAGCAGAACCTTTTGATTTTGGTGACGCAGTGAGTGTTTAACCAAAGTGAACTGGGTTCTGGGAGTCTTTTTAGGTAAACTGCCCAGTGGATTTCCATCTACATTATTCATCTATCCAAGATGAAGCAGGTGCTTCAAGTCTACAAGTGTCTCTAAGTGACAGGGCACAGTATTTATTTATGTTTTTTATAGTTCATTTACAGTAAAACAAAGTTGTACTCTTTTCTGAATTTTCTGTGTCTGAAGCATTAATATCTCTTAGTTTTTGGGTCTCATTAAAATTAAGATTTTTATAACCTTATATGGTGCTTATTAAAGCCAAACTCAGTGGACTGGAGCTTGAACCCCTGTCAGGTTTTTATGGTCAGTGTCTTCCAGGTGATACCTGTCTTCCACTCATCTCTCACAGTAAGTGAAAGGAAGTCTGTTCTGAGACCAGAAAAAATTATAAAAACGCACACCATAAAGTATAATATGCTTTTATTAAAATGTGCTAAAGAAGCAGTGTTAAAATACATCGCTTCTCGGCCTTTTGGCTAAGATCAAGTGTAGTATCTGTTCTTATCAGTTGTTGGAGGGGAGAGGATGTTGCCACCCGATGGGAGAACATTCTAGTACCCTCTGACGTAATGGTGGGTGTCGGAGGACGGTTCGGTCCACTGCTAGTTGCGTCAGGCCCTGATGTACGGGTAGACCCTAGACAGTGGGAGGACCCCCGACGGCACTACCTCCTGATGTGAGCGGAGAACCACGGGGTCTGGCCCGAGGGTTTCGGGGGCGGCAGAAGCCCGTGGTGTTGTGCCCCCTGGGGGTGGCGTCCCAGGGGTGCGCAGAAAGTCACTTGGGTATGGGACCCCACATGACTCACTGTGCACTTGGTCACACACCATATTGCAATTTTCTGCACTTCGCCTCCAAGACAGGCCTTATGGCTAGTCTGGGGCAATATTTTTGCACTCCGGCCCCTAAGGCCTGCCAGAGTGGTGCACTGGCACTTTAGATTATTTAAGCACTTCATGCACGATTGGCACTTTTTTCTTTTCCTATTTTGACCCACAGATGCGAAAGGTGCAGGTTTCTTCGGGGCCTATTCCTGACGCTGGGAGGAGATTCTGTGCCTTGAACGGGGTTCTCTGTCTCCTCCCACCCAGGAGGTGGGTTTCTCTTCTGGAGATCTCACTTACGGGCTTCGAAAAAAAAAAAAAAAATCTGTTCTTATCAGTTGTCGGGAATCGAAAGTCTGCTGTCGCCTAGGAAGGGTGGATGGACGGACCAGTAGATTCCTGGCGTAATTGGTAGGGAGCCGGATGAGGTTCCAGGCCCCGGAGTTTTCGACCCTAGTTAATGGGTGGGCTCCAGGGGAGGGATCTCTGAAGGTGAACTATCTCCTGACGGGGATGGATACGAAACTTGGTCGAGGCTAGAGGGTTCGGGGGCGGCAGAAGCCCGTGGTGTGGTGCCCCCTGGGGGTGGCGTCCCAGGGGTGCTCAGGAAGTCACTTGGGTGTGGGACCCCACATTGACTCACTGATCACTTGGTCACACACCACCTTGCACTTTCTGCACATCGCCTCTTGGACAGGCCTTATTGCTGGTCCGGGGCAATTTTTTTGCACTCGGCCCCTAAGGCCTGTCAGCGTGGTGCACTGGCACTTTATTATTTATTGCACTTAATGCACGATTGTCTTTTTTTAAAAGCATTGACCCACAGATGCTGAAGGTGCAGGTTTCTTCGGGGCCTATTCCTGATGCTGGGAGGAGATTCTGTGCCTCCTACGGGGTTCTCTGTCTCCTCCCACCCAGGAGGGGGGTTTCTCTTCGGGAGATCCCCCGTGCCTAGTACTGTGTGGGACCGGTTTCAGCAGGTCCCCGACGGAAATGGTCCACCGGCCTTTGGGTTGGTGGGCCAACAGTCTCAACCCCTGTCAGGAGCCTTGCGCCCCGGGGGTCGGGAAAGTAGGTCCCTTCTTTTGAAGGACCTTGCACCCTTGTGCACGTTTTTGTGTGCTGTGATTTCACGGTTGCATTTTTTTTGTTCACAGGGGGAAGTTTGTTTTGATGCACGTCCACGGGCTTCGGAAAAAAAAAAAAAAAAAGCAGTGTTCAAATACAAGGGAGAGAATATAAATAAGGAGTTTGCAGATTTCTATTAAACTT